GTTGGCTTACCACACCCAGTTAAGCCAGTTATCTCCAGGATAGAGGACTCTGTGGAACAGGTTTGGGCTGGAAAGCCATGCTTCAGTTGGTCACAAAGGACTTCGACGTAACTTTTAAACTAATGGAAGGAATTGCCTGATTTTTGAGTATGTTTGTATTTGGAGTATGCTGATTCTGAAAATGTAAGTTTTGAATGTGATGTATACTTTTGGAGTTATGAATATTGTGCAAAACTGTGTATTTTCCTGCCTGTGATAATTACGTTAGCCCATTGTGTTTAGTAATTATATCACAGGAAGAGGGGAGGATTTTGTGTGGGAGTGTCTGAGTGTATTGTATGTATTGATTGGTTGTACTTCAAAACCCTGTGGGCAGTACTATGTTTGTAGAAATTCAGTTCTTCTTCACCCTCAATCCTGTCTCTTATTGGGAGAATTGCTATATCATTACAAGGGATTGCTATGCTCTGCATGCTCCCTTAGATAATCACTTCTAAGCTCTTTTAAGAGCTTGTTCCTGTCTTGCTCTCGGAAGGAGTCTATGGTGTTTATGGTGTTGGCTGGAGTGCTTGGAGCCCTCAGGAAGCGCTAGGAGCAACCTTCAATGGAGGTACCCAGTCGGGGTGCCAGGTGATCTGTTACAACCTAATGTCCTCCCCCAGTGCCCCCACCCCTGCGCGGCGGGTGGGTGCCCTAAATAACAATAAGCGGGGGGACATACTGTCCTCCCCCCGGCACCCAACCCTGAGCGGTGGGTGGGGACCCTAAATAACAATAGGGGGGGACCTAATATTCTCCCCCTCGGCCCCCACCACTGCACGGTGGGTGGGGCCCATAAATAAAAATTGGGGGCGGACCTAATGTCTCCCCCCTGGCCCCCACCCCTGCGCGGCGGGTGGGGGCCCTAAATAACAATATCCTACTGTCCTCCCCCCCTGGCCCCCACCCCTGAGCGGTGGGTGGGGGCCATAAATACAAATTGGGGGAGGGGCCTAATATCCTCCCCCCCGGCCCCCTCTGTGCGTCGGTTATTATGGATTTTTATTTGGCCTTTTTTGGGGCTGAAAAACTAAAAAAAGATTTTAGAAGAAAGAATACATCAAATGGTAAGTTGTGACAGATCCATCTGTGTGACTGGTATTGCTGGTTCGTCTAATTTGCCTCCATTCGCGAAATTGCCTGTCCGTATGCCTCTGTTTGTTATTATAGACTTATACCGAACAAACTACCGAACGGACGGCCACCCAGAAGAGAAGTGTGCTGCTGGTTAACCTCTTGGCCCCAATTAGAACGTTGTGGTTAACCGCAGACACCTCTTCATTACAACCGAATGCAGGGTGGTCGTCATTCGTATGCCGACCACGAGGCGGCGGCCATTTTAAAACACGCAAAAGACCAGCGGTGTTCGGCGCAGATCTTATGGAACTATAAACGGACACTTTTCCTACCGAACACCGCTGAAACTACCGACCGCCCTTCTCATTCGTCGAGGCATGCAAACACCGGTCCGTTCGAGAGGTTGGATAATACAAATGCACTTAACCCAGATAGCCATCCCATGGAGTCAATCGCATACCGAAAGACCTGTGAAAGACTTTGACCCCATGGCGATTGAACTGTGTGTATGGGATCTGAGCGCTATTCGGTAGTAATATGCACTCAGATCCAGGCTATCTGGGGATACGTTACACAAATCCAATGTATTCGGTATTTGTACAGTTATATTTTTTTATGCATTTTTAATGTTTCATGCAAAATGGCGATTTGCCTCCATCCTTGGAGATAATTGGATTTCTTCCCAATAATCGCCAGGATAGAGAGGAGGGATTTACTGGTATAAAGGTGGAGTGTTTAAACCTGGGCCACTGTGATTTGCTAATGTATCATACTTGTCCCAGTCTTCCATCTGGTCCCCTAGGGGAGTCTCCACCAGGTGGGAGAACTTCATAAATACCAGGCAGGTAGCCCTCATTAAACAGATTCCTGTTTTACCCTCAAGACGGAGCTTGGTCTCGTGTTTGGGGGGGGATTGCTACTTGGAAGGATTCCTTTTGCCTGTTTTAGCCGAAGAAGGGATTCTGCTGATTTGTGTATTCATGGATTTACCGCATTCCCTTGCACTCCGTTGGGGAGTTTGGTGGTCTGCTGTACAGAGCCTGTGTCTCTGGAAAGGGGGAATATCGGCTAAATGGCGGTTTCATCCATTTAAACTGTGAGTGTCTTAACAACTGATGGCAAGTGACGGGATGACCCTCATCGCCCTGAGAGACCATTACATCCAGAATTAATGGAAATACAATACCAAAGGCTGAAAAGAGCTACCCTAAAAGACCTATTGGAACAAAGAGGCAGACAAGCCAGTAATCTCTGGAAGAGGGAGATTATTGCAATACTACACGAAATGGATGGAGCTCCAGGGGCTGAAGGAATCCAATGGGCCCAGCACAGCTGATAGAACCCCCAAAGAAGCAAGCTTTGACCGGGTGGTAAGAATCAGACTGGCTGAATGCTGTGGAGGCCAACTTGCTATGCCAAAGCGGTGCTGCAGCAGCTCCAGTTCCAGCAATCCCGGTGGAGAAAAGGAAGGTACAGTTTGCAGTTTTTAAATCCTTCCTTGAGACATAAGGAGAGATTGATGGGTACCTTGCTGATTTTGAGCGGCAATGTGCGCTACACAAGGTACCCGCAGAAGACTGGGTTACTATATTGTCCGGCAAGTTATCCGGCTGGGCCAGTGACGCTTTTCGGGCCATTCCTGATGAGGAGATCGGGGATTATCTGGCTGTAAAAGAAGCTTTGCTCTCCAGGTAAGCCGTTACACCAGAGGCGGTTCAGAGACACTGCCAAACTAGCCGGGGATTCTTACGTCGAATGGGCCTGTAAAGTACACTGCACAGCCGCTCACAGGATGGCGGGGTGCCAAGCCGTATCCGAGTGCATTTGGATTGGGGAGTGGGCGCTAGGCATGTGAATGTGGGGATCATGAGGGACTTACCCGCAGACATCCTCCTTGGAAACGATTTGGCCACTCTTGTCTCTGCATATGCTCCCATGGGTCCCGCTGAAGTTAATGCTGTGACGACCCGTGCCCAGACCCGTGCCACCGAGACCGGCCCACCTGCTGCTGAGACCCAGGTAAGACCCTCTATCCCGACTTGCACCTTAGATCAGGCTCCCTTAGGCTGGGATACCCCAGAGACGTACGGGAGGGAAACCCAGGAGGATCCGACCCTGGCGAAGGATTCAGCGATCTGCTAGGGCAGATGCTGGGGAAGAGGGAGTAGATGGAGAGCGGTACGAGTGGGTGGGGGATAGGCTGTATAGGATTCCCAAACCTTCCAAGAAAAAGAATACCCCTCTGCAGAACCGGCAGTTGGTGGTGCCTGCAAAATACCGGCAGGAGATTCTGCGGATTGGGCATGATGTGCCGTTAGCTGGACATCTAGGGTCCCGCCGAACAGCTCATAGGATCAACCAAAATTTCTTCTGGCCCAATTTTAACTGAGACGTGCGGGTCTATTGTAGCACTTGTGACACATGTCAATGGGTTGGTCTATGCCTATCATTGGGAACCCTTTTCCCGCATAGCCGTTGATATTGTGGGTCCACTGGCCAGGGCTAGTCCATCAGGTAAGAAGTATATTCTCACCATGGTGGACTATGCCACACGTTATCCAGAGGCAGTAGCGCTGTCTAATATAGAGGCAGAGACGGTTGCTGATGCCCTGGTTAGGATTTTTACTAGGGTCGGGTTCCCTCAGGAGATTCTCTCTGACCAGGGGACTCAGTTCACCGCTGTGCTCACCCAGCAGCTGTGGAAGGTGTGCAGCATTAAATCGCTGCTTAGTTCACCTTATCACCCACAGACTAACGGTCTCTGCGAGCGCTTTAATGGCACCCTCAAGCAGATGCTGAGGACCTTTACTGACACTTGCAGAGACTGGGAGCGATTCCTGCCTCATCTGCTCTTTGCATACAGAGAGGTGCCCCAGGAATCTACTGGGTTCTCTCCCTTTGAGCTACTCTCGTGGACCCCTAGATCTCATCAGAGGACACTGGGAGGGAGAGACAGAGCAGGAAGGAACTCCCATAGTGCCATATGTCCTGGAACTCCGGGACCGCATGGAGAAGCTGTCCCTAATGGTAAGTGAGAATCTCCAGGCGGCCCAGGGGAGACAGAAGAGGTGGTACAATCGGGGTGCCCGACAGCGGGTCTTCCAAGTTGGGCAGAAGGTTTTAGTGCTCAAGCCAGGGCCGGATTAACATAGGGGCTGATGGAGCTGCAGCTCCAGGCCCAGGCCCATGGAATAGGCCCATTTAAAAAATTTTTTTTACATTTTTTTTTACACACTACTCTTAGGTTTGCCACCTGACTGTATTTTACTGGCACAACTGGTATTTGAGGCTTGCAGTTATAAAGGAAATACAAATGCAGGTATTTTTCTCAGTATAAACGGAAATTACTCTGCAATACCAGCACCGGCCAGTAGGGTCGCTGTGTGTGTGGAGAGAGGCAGGGATAGGAAGTTACAGCATATCCCTCCCTGCCTTTCTCTTCTACTCACTGATCTGTGGGGGAGCAGCTACACAGCACAGAGAGTCCAGACAGGAGCTCTACAGCTCAGGTAAGTGAGGGATGGGGGAAAGGCAGAAGGGACACATGGGGACACTGAGACACTAGGGGACACTGAGAAACTAGGGAACACATGGGGACACAGACACTAGGGGATACGGGGAGACCTGGGGACACTGGAAAACACGGGGACACTGAGAGAAATGGGGACACTGAGACACATGGAGACACTGTGAGACATAGGGACATTGGGAGACACTGAGACATTGGGACACGGAGACACTAGGGACACAGTGTCCCCATGTCTCCCAGTGTCCCCTAGTCTCCCAGTGTCTGTGTCCCCATATCTCAGTGTCCCTCATGTCTCAGTGTCCCCTAGTCTCCCAGTGTCTGTGCCCCCAATTTTCCCCCAGTGTCCCTAGTGACTCAGTGTTTCCATGTCTCCCAGTGTCCCCAAGTGTCTCAGTGTCCCCGGGTCTCTCAGTGACATGGGGACACTGGGAGAAATGGGAACACTGTGACACTGGGAGACTAGGGGACTGGGCGACATGGGGACACTGACACTGTGATACATAGGGACACTGAGAGACTGGGTGACTTGCGAGACTGAGACACTGGGAGACAGGGAGCCACTGGGAGCAATCCATCTATACAGCAGAATCAAACTGTGAGTAGTTTGTTGGTGATTTTACAGAATTTTCTCTTATGTCACTCCTTGTGATTTACATCATGTGATGTCACACATAACTAATTAATTATTCAAATGTATAAGGCTGGTATTTTTTTCCCAGAAAGGTGGCAACCCTAACTACTCTTCACATACTCTTGCTTAAAGGAACACTAGAGTGTCAGGAACACAATCATGTATTTCTGACCTTATTATGTTAAAACCACAATTTAGCCCCCCTGGCCTCCTCTTGCCTCCCTAAATATAGTAAACTCTTACTTGTATTGACATCATCAGAAGTGGTGGTCTGTGCAAATTACAATGCTTCCCCATAGGATTGGCTGAGACTGTCAACTAGGCAGATCAGGGGCAGAGCCAGCACAAGTCAAACATAGCCCTGGCCAATCAGCATCTCTTCATGAAGATAAACTGATTCAATACATCTCTATGAGGAAAGTTCGGTGTCTGCATGCAGAGGGTGGAGACACTGAATAGCCGTGCTGCACACTAGGCAATACTGCCCTAGGAGGCACCTCTAGCAGCCATCTAAGGAGTGGCCATCAGAGGTATTTTCTCTGAAAAGAAAGTGTTTACTGCAAAAAGCCTGGAGGGAATGATTGTACTTACCAGAACAAATACAATGAGCTGTAGTTGTTCTGATGACTATAGTGTCCCTTTAAGTTTCGAAGCTTAAGAGGGATGCATGAGAACAAAACCTGTGTGGACTGGCTGACAATAAAATAAGTTTAGATAATGCAGACTTTGGTCTCTCTAACACTGTGGCATGTCCCCTTTCTTCTACACTCACTACATACACCTTTTCTCTGTCTCAGACTATATACCAGGAATTTCTGCCTGCTAGTAAGATGATAAGGAGACAAGTTGACGATGTGAGTGCTAGGGGACAGTCCTTAGAAAGCGTGGAGTAGGCGCATCATTTGATACATTTATGTCGAGCTCAGGGTGCTGCCTGCATAGTATGCCCTTAGTTGGACAGCCTGCATGATTGGCAGGCAGTCTGGCATGCATTCATGCTAGACTGGCCTTCCAATTCTTTGGACAAACATGTGCCCTTTTTGGGCATGTTCACCCCTTTTGGCAGGTCTGGTCACGTGATTCGCGCCAGTGGCACCCTCTTTTACCCTGCACATTGACTTCCTGCTTCACTGGACACTACTGTTAGGGGATATGGATTTACTTGAAAGATGAAAGCATAAATTAGAGAGAGATTGCATAGCTGCATCCTTTGAGTTTCCCTCCAACACCATCTCCATCAGATACATGACGCTTGGGAGGTATGACCGTTTTAGTGTTTTTGGTCAATAAGATTATGTAATTAGGCCCATCATGATTGTCAGCACCAGGCCCACTGGGCTCTTAATCTGGCCCTGGCTCAAGCCCGTGAAGACGAACAAGATGCAAGCATCTTGGCAGGGCCAGTATAAGATAGTAGCTGAGGTATGTGATACTACCTACCTTATAGCCAGCTGTGCAGATGAAAGGATTCAGCGATCCTTTCATGTGAACATGCTGAAGGAGTATCAGGAGAGACCAGAAGATGTCGCTGCAGTGTGCGCCCCGGCTGCAGATGACCCAGAGAATTTACCCCAGAAAGAACCCCAGACTGACCTCACTAGTCTTGTACAGTTAGGGGATCGGTTAAGCCATACGGAGAAGGTACAGGCAAAACAGCTTCTGTGGGAGAAGCAGGCGACGTTCTCCCAAGAGCCCGGCTACACCACATTAGCTGTAGGTCCCCCCTTTATTTCAAAAGCCCCCACTCGCGCATCCTCAGAAGGTTTTTTTTTTTTTAACAGTGAGCAGCTACAGGCTGCTCACTGTTTAAGAGACACACCCCTACTCGTGGTATAGCGAGTAGGGGCATAATTTACTAATACTAAGTGACCAGCTTCTATAGAGGCTGGGTCACATGCTGCACTGGCCAGTCACAGCCATGTCATTAGTAGGCATGGCTGTGATGGCTTCTAAGGGCACACGAGTCAAAAGCTTGTTGATTGGCTGCCCTGCGGCCTTTCAAAATGCGTCATTAATCGACAAACTTCGAACTCCAACCCGAACATGCAGTGAAATGCCCGTGTTCGGGTCCGGGGTTCAAAAAACGTAATGTTCGGTACGCTCAACTCTAAAGTTAACAAACCGATAAAAACAGCTTTATACAGTGAGACACTCCCATACAGTATACACAATCCCTCCCCTCTGCCCGGGAGATAATTAAGGCAGATAATGCATTAACTTAATTATCTCCAGGCAGAAAACCCCCAGATTTTTCCAAACTCCAAAAGTACTCCAAAAACACATAGAATCCCCATAAAAGTTATATCCCCTGATAGCCCTGACCTGGGTGAAAAACATATTAAAAAATCATCCAGATCAGATCTCTTTTTTGACCGACCGCACGCATGGTTTCATGCCCAAAACAGTTCCAGAGAATCAGGCTGTGCTGCCGGTCTATTTCCAATAGTCTAAATACCGTTCGAATTACCGAACATAGCCGTTTGTGAAAGTAATCAGTATATGTCCCTGGTTTATGGGTTTCTGCTCACCAAGCGCTGTTCGACTCCCGTTCAAATAGCCGAAGTTCTATAGAAGGTGAGCGCTCAGATCTAAGCTACTTGGGGTTAAGTTGAGTGTGGGGGTTCCGTTCGGTATAATAGGAACTATACATTTTAATGTGTTTTTACTATTCTTGTAAAATGGGGATATTCTCTATCCCTGGAGGTAATTGAGTTACTTCAAACACTTAACCCAATTATCTGCAGGATAGAGAGGAGGAGTTGTACTGCTTATGTGGGAGTTTTTCCATACTGTACTTGTACGTGATTGGCTATTGTGAAAACTGTCACAGTCTAATTTGGGTGGTTTAAGATGGCTGTGGACCAATATGTTCTATAAGTTCATAGATCTGTGGACAGATCTCAAGAACACGATTAAGGAATTTAGACAGCAATCCAATGGTACCCTCTTTTTGAACTTTGTAACATGGGTATTGAAGGCAATTTGAAGCTATTACTCTAGGCAAGACACATATTATTGCACAATATCTGTGTTATATTTTGCACATTACGTTTCCCAGCTGATTTGTTAGTTATTTTTAGTCATATCTTTTCTGTTTGATGCTTACTCCTTTTAAATGACTAATAAAGGTTGTTTTATCATTACATGTAATATCCGAGTTCTCAGTAGAAAGCTTCCATTCATTCTTTGATTTACTTAGAGAGGGTTTTTATCAATTTGTTTTCTAGTAATAATAATAATAATCTTGGAAACATTTGACATTAAACCCAAAGCCTCTTCTTTGAGATACGATTTTGGACGATGTATGACAGAAGAAGACGTCTCTCATGGACGCTTGTAGTACGATGTATCTGGATGTAGGGATACAGAGCGAGAGAATGTTATATAATACAGTTAGTGCCAAATTCCAGATTTATTAATTATTCAATGATTAATTTACATGCAAATATATAAGGCTATAAATGTACATTTTCATTTTACATAGAAGAGTCTCGGATGGAAAGCAATTTTCAAGGTGTTATTTTTTGCTAACAGATTGCGACCTGGATATTCAACGTTTCAATCGTGAAATATGTTACTTAAGTTATAAGTAGAAATGGTGGCCATCGTTTTGTGAATGTGTATTTAAACAAAACCCCCAAAAATCAGCAGTAAAGTAGCTATTGAGCTTGTTTGGTATCCCAAATGTATTATTTATGTAATTTTCTTCAAAAAGAAAGGTAAAATAGAAGATTTCATTTTGTAGTATTCTGTCAAAGCCATTGTCTCTGAAACGTGAACATCTTGCATTTTACTGCATTGAATTTATCAAGCAAAACTGGGACTCGTTATTGGGTTGAGTTTAAAATAAAGGTTTCAAGTTCTTTGAAAATAACTATTTTAATAACTTTGCAGATAATATTCATTTGTTCCAATTCTTCATTAATCCATTGCGCTTTCTATTTTCCAGCTCTAAAGAAACTTGTTTGTAAATGTAATATTATTGCTGAATTTCTATTGGTAAAAGAACGGTTGGGAAATGGCCATTAACCATGGTCGTTTCAATGAATAAAGAATCGGGCCAATCAAGTGAAGTCTTTTATGCAGAATGTGGACCAGGAAGCCAGTTGTATAACAGAAAGAGTTTATCTGCCTCTAAAATGCAATCCGATCTCCGGGATTAACAAGGTATTGATATCAATGTTTTTGGGACAGTTTGACAGGTTTTATGGATCAATTAACAAAATATTTCCATTGATATATTGATAAATAATAAAGTAATATCAGAATTGGATGCTTTGCTAATTATTGACTTTTTGGCTAATTACTAGATCCTTCGTTTGTATTTTTGGATTTTCTGCAAAATGACTAATAATGAAATATACTAACCAGGGTAAGAGTGCCGTAATGCCATGTAGAAGCACTGACTGGAAAGATAGAGATCAGTGACACAATGCAGAATACCGGCCCTCGGGCAGTGGTGTATTTTCATTTTGTGCTGCCCTAGGCATGACTAAACCTGGGCACCCCCCTAATCTAAATTTACCACCCTTTCCTGTCAAGGGCACACCGCTTCCTGATTAAGAACCCACCCCTTCCCCTTTCCTCTTTTCCTGTTCCTTCTAAAGAAATATTATAGTGCCAGGAAAACAAAGCTGTTTTCCTGGCACTATAATTCCCTATAGTGCCCCCCTCCCTCGTGTCCTCCCCTCCACCACTCGACACTGAAGGGGTTAAATCCTATGGGTATTTAGCAGATGCTGGATGTCCTCATGCACAGAGTGAGGACGTCCAGCATCAGTTAGGCGACTTTTGGCCACCTAACCACCTAACCACCTGTCTGGTAGACAGCCACTTGAGGTGGAGTTACCCCTCAAGGTAATTATTGCAGTTTCTGAGAAACTGCAATAATTACACTTGCAGGTTTAAGGGGACTGAGACACTGCACCCAGACCAATTCAATGAGCTTAAGTTGTCTGGGTGCCTATAGTGTCCCTTTAACCCCTTAAGGACCAAACTTCTGGAATAAAAGGGAACATGTCATGTGTCCTTAAGGGGTTAAGCACACTCTCTGACAGACAACACACATTCACTGACGCACACTGGCAGATCCACACACTGACAGTAACACACACACTCAATGACAAACACACAGACGTCACTGATTTGACACACACACTTTTACTGACACACACTCATTCATTGACAGAGAGACACACACAAACACACTGACAGACACACACTAATAGTCACACATACACTAAATGACACACAGACTCTCACTGATTTGACAGACACTAACAGATGCACATACACTCATACACACGTACGCTAACAGACGTAAATACACTCATACACACACACATACACTAACAGACACACACACACACTAACAGAGACACATACACTCACACACACTGACATACAATAACAGACGTACATACACTGATACACTAAAAGACATACATACACTCATACTCACACATACACTACCAGACAGAGACACACACACACACTTAAACTGATGCACACACACATACACACATACAATCATACACACGCATACACTAACAGACATACATACACACATGTATAAGGAAAAACACTATCGTGCAAATACATGCAAAAACAGTGCAAAGGTGGAGCGCTTCAAAATTAAAACACTTACTCCTGCAGATTTCAGGAGATAATGAAATTGATGGTAATGAGATCCTTTAAGTCATCGAGGAACCTCAAAATGGAAACAAAAAGTGGGAGAAATAGGGAAGCAAAACTAACCCTAGTGCAGAAATCCTTAATATAATAGGTAGCCAGGTGAAAAAAATAAAGATTTACTTCTCACCTTATCAGGAGCCTTTAACTGGGCTCCAAGTGTATAAGCACAGTGTCAATTATAGAGTGACACTTCCCTTCTTGATAGCAGCATAAATATATCACTAGTCAACTTGGTAAAAGAAATGAACATTTATTATAACTTATTAAAAACAAATAAATGAAATCTGTATACTCAAGTGCCAGTGCTGTGTCCAAGACGCGTTTTGCCGATATGTTGTTCGGCTTTATCAATTGGTAAATGAAATGCTGCTAAGGTAAAATTTAAATACCCCCTAATAGGGGGTTGATTGGAGGAGAACGTCCGTGGTACATCCAATCACAGCGCTAATCCTCATACAAGGTTCAGCTGATTATAATATCTCCGATACTGTGACGTCATCACGCACGACGTCCCGTGCGCGTGACGTCACATGCGGAAGTAAACTGTGATCGTACACTCGTTCATATAACATCACATACAAAAAACTGTGATTGTACAATTATAGGACATCCTTTCTATCAAAAAAAGTTCTGTTTAATCAAATCCATTCATCCAGTCCTTAATAATGTTGCGACCATTTTGCTTGATGGCAAGTATGTTGAGTGTCCTCAATAGTGTTGCGGCCATTTTGCTTGATGGCAAGTATGATGAGTGTCCTCAATAGTGTTGCGGCCATTTTGCTTGAGGGTAAATCTACTGAGTGTCCAAATTCAATCCACTGATTGTCCAATATCTCGGAAATGTCCATTAATATAAGTAAATCCACGAAGTTTTAATCATAATAAAGAGAAAGGAAACAGTAATTTAGAGAGGTGTATATATTAGTAAAAGGCAATTAGCATTAAAAAATATGATAACTTAATTAAGAAATGCACACAATATGGTCATCATGATGACTTATTACTTAAAAATTAAAATTATATATGTATATAGTACAAATAAATATAAATAGTATTATAAAAATTGTATATGTATATTATAAAAAATGACAAATTTCAAAATCATCATTTAATCCATATGGTTGCATTGTATTCAAATTAAAAATCCACTTCATCTCAGTTTGACCTATACTTCTCATTAAATCTCCCCCCCTCCAATTCATAGAGATTCTTTGGATTCCCATGAATTCCATACAACGAGGGGCACAGTTATGTTTGTCTTTAAAATGCTGGGAGACACTATGTTTCTCAAAACCATTTTTAATATTTCTTATATGTTCTTGAATTCGTGTATTTAGTGTTCTAATGGTTCTCCCTACATATGTGAGTTTACATGGGCACGTAATTTTATATATTACCCTTGTGGAGTGACAGGTGATTAATTGTTTAATCTTAAATCTCTTACTGTCATCTCTAGGGTGGTTGAACTCCTTGATTACTCTTTTTGAACTTTGTGTATTTTTACAAGCTCCACATGAGCCACACCCATAGAATCCATTGGTCTCATTAAAAAAGGATGATTTTACAGTAGTCTTCCTTGATGGTAAATGATTATGTACTAGACTACTGCTTAAATTGTTAACACCTCTATAGGTAATCATAGGTCTATCTGGCAACAAAGAGTGGAGGGCAGGATCATTCTTAAGTATTGGCCAATATTTATTAATTATTTTCCTGAGTTGTTTATTATTACAATTAAAATCACAAATAAAATTCAAATTTTGGTGTTGTGTATCAATTTTTTTTTATCCTTGTATGTAAGTAAATCGTTTCTATTTTTCATTTCTACCTCCTCATAAGCTTTTACTAGGTGTTGTTCATTATACCCCTTCTCTTTAAAATCTTCAAGTATTTTAATGGATTGTTCCTGAAATTTGGTATTATCCGTACAATTACGCTTAATTCTTAATAGTTGTGCTTTGGGAGCGTTCAACAGCCATGGAGAGAAATGGCAACTTTTCTCTCCTGTGTAGCTGTTGACGTCAACCTTTTTAAAAAAAGTACAAGATTTCAACATATCGTCCTCCACATATATGTTAAGGTCCAGAAATTCGACCGAAGTTTTGCTATAATGACTGGTAAGTGTAATACCACGATCATTAGTGTTTAAATGGGTTAGAAAGGAGTTGAGGGATATCTCGTCGCCCTTCCAAATAAAAAATATATCATCTATGTAACGACGATAGGTAACGAGATTTGCATCCCATCTATGATTATCATAGATGAACTCCTGTTCCCAGTGTGACATGAATAGGTTTGCATAGCTGGGAGCAAATCTCGTACCCATCGCCGTTCCACATGTTTGCAAATAAAATTGGTCACCAAACCAAAAATAGTTGTTCATTAGGATCCACTCGATCCCTTCAACAATGAAGTCAACCTGGTTTTTGGAAAATTTATCAGATTGCTCTAGAAAATATATAGTTGCTCTACATCCCTGGGTATGGGAGATGATCGTATACAGAGAACTTACATCAGATGTCACAAGATAGTAATCTGTATTCCAGGTGACCTGTTGAATAATCTGCAAAATATTGATGGTATCTTTTAGATAACTGGGGCAGGTATTAACTATCAATTGCAGGCATTTGTCAATATACTGTGACAACCTGCTTGAAATGGATCCTATCCCCGAAACTATAGGTCTACCGGGTGGTTTATCCTTATTTTTATGGATCTTGGGGAGGTAATAAAAGACTGGGATTATAGGATGTTGTATATTCAAAAATTTATACTCCCTTAAATTTAGAACTTCATTCATTTTGCCTCTCTCAATTAACTCCCAATATGTGCTCCTAATCTCATTTGTGGGGTCTTTCTTAAGGATTCGGTAGGTTTGTTGGTCACTCAACAATCTACCAATTTCTTGTTTATAGTCATCCACATCCAAAATGACTATCCCCCCACCCTTGTCGGCTGGTTTAATCACAATTGTTTCGTCCTCTTTTAATTGTTTAAGGGCTTGTCTTTCCTTTAAATTCAAGTTATGTAAATTTGGCTTAGGTTTCTTTATTTTATTTACATCATTCATCACCATTTTTTCGAAGGTTGTCATGTCACCAGAGATGCAACATCTTGGAAAAAAGGTTGATTTTTCCTTTAAATCAGTATGTATAGTCGTAGTGGCAGATTAAATTTCTTGAATAGTATTAATTGGATTCTTCAGAAAGAATTTTTTAAGACAGAGTTTCCTCTTAAATCTATTAAGATCTAGATACACACTACATTTGTCGATTGGTTTTGTAGGGGCAAATTTAAGTCCTTTCGTCAATAATTCCCTTTGTGGTGTTGTTAATTCTCGTTTAGAGAGGTTGAAAATTCCGTTCTTTTTTGGGGTATTTCTCTCCTTTCCTTTTTGTATCCGTATGCCTCCTCTACCTCCCCTTCCTCTAAACTTCTTCTCCGTTTCCCTGGTGATGCCTGATATGTGGGGGTCTCTTTGTAATGTCCCCTCATATGTCTGGGCCAAAAATCCTCATCATTTTGAGGGATGTTCAAAGATTGAAATCTATTATGATGGGAATGTGTGGTCTCGTGACGTATATTGGTGCGTGACCTATTGTCGTAGGGCTTAATTAACGGTATATTGGGTCTAGATGTTCTATCCTGATACCTTTTTGGTGATGGTACTCTCTTTCTCCTCACTACTGTTTCCCAATCATCCCTAGTCTTTCCTAATGATCTGGATCTATGGACTGTTCTGTGTGGTAGCTTAGTCCTAGATCTATTTCTGGATCTTTCATTACGTGGAGAATTATATATTGATGATTGATTTGTCTTTGTGTAGTAGTTGTTTTTAGAGAGATTCTGTGTGTTTCGCCACGTATTGTTAGTAAATCTCTCTTGTACTTTAGTGTATGATCTTACTTGGTCCCTCGCATAGTCTTCCTTATCTCTTAGGTATTTCCTCTTTTTTGTCTCTATTACATTTCTCTCTAATTTCTCCAGATTTATCTGAATTTCTTCTAATAGCTCTGAATATTGTTCTGGTGCCATATTCCCAACCAAAAAATTCTTAATTTCATTGATTTCACCATCTAATTTCTTTAAAGAATTAGTGCGTCTCCTAATAATTAGACTCATCATTCCAAACGAGAAACTTTCCAAAAGGTCTGTCCATTCTTGTAAAAAATCTTCCTCCTCTTGATCAAAGGAGGGACTTTTAGAAAATCTCAGGCCTCTTGGTGTTATTTTACATACATACACACATATACTAACAGACATGCACACACATACACTAACAGACATGCATACACACGTACACTAACAGACATACACACACACACACACATACACTAACAGACATACATACACACATACACTAACAGACATACATACACAGTATTAATATTATTATAATTAACATTTTTCCACCCACCCATCCTCACTACCTTTTGATAAAGCTGGCATGGATGGGTTCCTGGGATCCAGTGGGAATGTAGTGAGGCAGACGGCTGTTCTAATCAGAGGCAGCAAGGGAGCTATTATCTCTCTGCTCTGCTCCCTCACGGGCTGTCTACTGATGCCGGGAGCTGGAATATGATGTCATATTCCGGCTCCCGCCATCAGCCAAATGCACACGATGGAGCAGAGAGGAGAGATAATAGCTCCCTCGCCACCTATGATTAGAACAGCCGTCTGCCGGGGGGCCACTAGGTGGACAACCGGCCAGCTGTTGGTGGGTCTCCACATCAAAATCACAAGGGTTTTCCTCCCAACACTCCCTGTTTCTGAGAGATAATTGAGTGAAAAAACTATAACTCAATTATCTCTCATACACAGGGAACATACACAATTTTACAATTTTACATAAAAATACTTTGGAATCCCACGAAAGTCATATCACCAAATAGCTTAGGTCTGAGCGCCCACTTTGTCGAAATATCACTCAGATCCCTTTGGTGGTTCGGGAACGCCATTCGAATGAAGTTTTGACAATTTGACCATGAGGTGATGCCCCAAAATATTTCCAGAGAAGGCAACGACCGTCATATTTTGGGGGTTCTCACACGAACACTAACAAATGCTCCCCCTGGCTGTTAGGGAGCAAATGCTTCCCCTGTTTAGTAGTTCATGTCCCCTGAATGCCGTTCTACTAACTGTTCAGGAAGTTGGATGGGCAGCGGTACAAGTTTCCTGGTTGTTCGTGGGGTTGTGTATCCGAGAATAGTTCCAGCCCATCGACGACCATGTACCGCTGTGAGCACGTGTGTTCGGTCATACAAACGGCCAGCCACAGAGGGGAAACACTTGTACTAATGAGCAATTTGTGATTAACAGTCAGGGGTAGTCGGTGATTGTGATTGTGAAATGTTAACAGGGGACCACACAAAATTGGTTCGGTAAATGAATGGGGTGTACGGACAGTCGAACAAAAGAGAATAAAAGGCATCCATTCTGCTACAGGGCTTGAGTAGCTCCTCCTACTATACCTGACTCCTCGTATTAAATATGGCTCCTCCTACCATGCATGACCCCTCCCACCATACTTGGATCCCTCAATACATGGCTCCTCCTACTTAACTGGCTCATCCTACCATACCTGTACCTTTTCTTTCTGTAAGGGGAAAAAAGAATATTTAATAAGACCTAATCCAAATGGTGCTGTTACTATGGCCATGTGCTATTTATCAAGGAAAATTATTTTTAATAGTGTTATCCACGTTTTTCTGGCCATATTGAGATTGTAAATGAATTGATGTGATTTGAATAGCAAGTCTTTCCTTCCTGGTCACTGATAACATGGGGGTGTTTCATTGGTTATTGATGATTGACTGTAGTCTTTTTTTATAATTCAATCTAATATATAATTTGGCAGGGATACATGTTGTTTATAAGATATATATCATTTTACAGGGATACATGTTGTTTATTAGATATATATCATTTTACAGGGTTACATGTTGTTTTTTAGATATATATCATTTTCAGGGATACATGTTGTTTATAAGATATATATCATTTTCAGGGATACATGTTGTTTATAAGATATATATATCATTTTCAGGGATACATGTTGTTTATAAGATATATATATCATTTTCAGGGTTACATGTTGTTTATAAGATATATATCATTTTACAGGGTTACATGTTGTTTATAAGATATATATCATTTTCAGGTTTACATGTTGTTTATAAGATATATATCATTTTACAGGGTTACATGTTGTTTATAAGATATATATCATTTTACAGGGATACATGTTGTTTTTTAGATATATATCATTTTACAGGGATACATGTTGTTTATGAGATATATATCATTTTCAGGGATACATGTTGTTTATAAGATATATATATATATCATTTTCAGGGATACATGTTGTTTATAAGATATATATCATTTTCAGGGATACATGTTGTTTATAAGATATATATCATTTTCAGGGGTACATGTTGTTTATAAGATATATATCATTTTCAGGTTTACATGTTGTTTATAAGATATATATCATTTTACAGGGTTACATGTTGTTTATAAGATATATATCATTTTCAGGGATACATGTTGTTTATGAGATATATATCATTTTCAGGGATACATGTTGTTTATAAGATATATATATATATATCATTTTCAGGGATACATGTTGTTTATAAGATATATATATCATTTTCAGGGATACATGTTGTTTATAAGATATATATATCATTTTCAGGGATACATGTTGTTTATAAGATATATATCATTTTACAGGGTTACATGTTGTTTATAAGATATATATCATTTTACAGGGTTACATGTTGTTTATAAGATATATATCATTTTACAGGGATACATGTTGTTTTTTAGATATATATCATTTTACAGGGATACATGTTGTTTATGAGATATATATCATTTTCAGGGATACATGTTGTTTATAAGATATATATATATATATCATTTTCAGGGATACATGTTGTTTATAAGATATATATCATTTTCAGGGATACATGTTGTTTATAAGATATATATCATTTTCAGGGGTACATGTTGTTTATAAGATATATATCATTTTCAGGGATACATGTTGTTTATTAGATATATATCATTTTCAGGTTTACATGTTGTTTATAAGATATATATCATTTTACAGGGTTACATGTTGTTTATAAGATATATATCATTTTACAGGGTTACATGTTGTTTATAAGATATATATATATATAATTTGGCAGGGATACATGTTGTTTATAAGATATATATCATTTTACAGGTTTACATGTTGTTTATAAGATATATATAATTTTACAGGGATACATGTTGTTTTTTAGATATATATCATTTTCAGGGATACATGTTGTTTATAAGATATATATCATTTTCAGGGGTACATGTTGTTTATAAGATATATATCATTTTCAGGGATACATGTTGTTTATAAGATATATATCATTTTCAGGGGTACATGTTGTTTATAAGATATATATCATTTTCAGGTTTACATGTTGTTTATAAGATATATATCATTTTACAGGTTTACATGTTGTTTATAAGATATATATAATTTTACAGGGATACATGTTGTTTTTTAGATATATATCATTTTCAGGGATACATGTTGTTTATAAGATATATATCATTTTCAGGGGTACATGTTGTTTATAAGATATATATATATATCATTTTCAGGGATACATGTTGTTTATAAGATATATCATTTTCAGGGTTACATGTTGTTTATAAGATATATATATATCATTTTCAGGGATACATGTTGTTTATAAGATATATCATTTTCAGGTTTACATGTTGTTTATAAGATATATATCATTTTCAGGGATACATGTTGTTTATAAGATATATATAATTTGGCAGGGATACATGTTGTTTATAAGATATATATCATTTTCAGGGATACATGTTGTTTATTAGATATATATCATTTTACAGGGTTACATGTTGTTTTTTAGATATATATCATTTTCAGGGATACATGTTGTTTATAAGATATATATCATTTTCAGGGTACATGTTGTTTATAAGATATATATCATTTTCAGGGATACATGTTGTTTTTAATATATATCATTTTACAGGGTTACATGTTGTTTATAAGATATATATATATCATTTTCAGGGATACATGTTGTTTATAAGATATATCATTTTCAGGTTTACATGTTGTTTATAAGATATATATCATTTTCAGGGATACATGTTGTTTATAAGATATATATAATTTTCAGGGATACATGTTGTTTATAAGATATATATCATTTTCAGGGATACATGTTGTTTATAAGATATATATCATTTTACAGGGTTACATGTTGTTTATTAGATATATATCATTTTCAGGGATACATGTTGTTTATAAGATATATATCATTTTACAGGGATTACATGTTGTTTATAAGATATATATCATTTTACAGGGATACATGTTGTTTATAAGATATATATCATTTTACAGGGTTACATGTTGTTTATAAGATATATATCATTTTCAGGGATACATGTTGTTTATAAGATATATATCATTTTACAGGGTTACATGTTGTTTATAAGATATATCATTTTCAGGGTTACATGTTGTTTATAAGATATATATCATTTTCAGGGATACATGTTGTTTATAAGATATATATATTTTACAGGGTTACATGTTGTTTATAAGATATATATCATTTTCAGGGATACATGTTGTTTATTAGATATATATCATTTTACAGGGTTACATGTTGTTTTTTAGATATATATCATTTTACAGGGATACATGTTGTTTATAAGATATATATCATTTTACAGGGTTACATGTTGTTTATAAGATATATATCATTTTACAGGGATACATTTTCAGGGATACATGTTGTTTATAAGATATATATCATTTTACAGGGTTACATGTTGTTTATAAGATATATATCATTTTCAGGGATACATGTTGTTTTTTAGATATATATCATTTTACAGGGTTTACATGTTGTTTATATAAGATATATATCATTTTCAGGGATTACATGTTGTTTATAAGATATATATCATTTTCAGGGTTACATGTTGTTTAT